CGTGTATCATCGACTTCTTTCGTAACATCAGACCAATCGATTATGAAATTTACTTTATTGGTATATATAATTTTATCGATATATTTCATTGCTTCAGAAATGTTAATTATTCTTTGAATTTAACTGAGGATGTTCTGAAAGAATTGCGTATTGATGAAGGCGAAGAACTGATTGCATTGCAAACTCAAAACACAAAAGGAACGTTTAACAGTTATTTCTTGTCGTTGGAACAGTACGAAACTTTACGTGATCGCATGAAAATTTATCCAATTAGAGAGAAGAATTCAAAATGCGTTGTCATTTAGATTAATGTAATAAATTACTTTATACCTGTCTATTTTTAGAAGAAACATTGAATTGTCGAGGAGGATAAAGGTGTCAGGATTAAGGTGACGTAGCGAGGGGGATTGGAAAGAAAATCGTATTATCTGACCGCCGGTCCTATAAGAATTCAGATATTTCGGGACTCCTGTAGCACTTCAATCTTACCTTCCACTACAGCTGACATTCTTCACTGGTTATATCGGTGCTAGAAGACAGTGCCTAGAACTTTATCTATTTTAAATGTGTGATGACGAATTCCACACAAAAATTATTTTTTTTTATTTAATTCCTGGAGTAGAATTCTTCAGGAAAGTGCGTTGTCTAGGTATAAGTTTCTAATGTTATATTTTTGATGTGAATAAAATGTTTATTATTTTTTAATAAAATACATAATTGTTTTAATATAAGACAGACTGTACCATTGCCGTAAGTAAGCTCATTAATTATCTTACTGGTAGACGTCACAAAGCGAATTAATTAAATATAATTTATTTGCGGGTGTTCATACGAAAATTTAAAGAAAATAGGGAATAAAACAAAAAAATACATGTATGGAGAAAGTAAGGAACTGGTATGCAATATAACGCTAATGTAATGTATATAAATATAGCATGTTTATACATATATATACAGAAAGAGTTTTATTTTAGTTAATTTACATACTTTAAAATAAGTCAAAAATACGTTTTTGATACTACGTAACCTTCAATCATAAGATCTATTTGATACACAATTCGACAAAGACGATTTATTTTTCACATAAAACATATTTTAAAAAAACTGAATGAAATAATAATCGAATTACTGTACTTCAAAATTCCAATTAAAAATGCGGATAATTTTATATCAATTATAAATTTGTAAATTTAAAACCGTTTCCTTCAACTTTGGTGTTGTACTAATTAATTAATAACGGTAATGAATAAATTAATTCTTTTGTATAGAATAGTTAAAAACACATTTAAAATAGAAAATTTCTTGAAATATTTATCTATTCAAATCCAAAAATAAATTACAGTAATATATATACAACAAGCAGATGAGCTGGTTGTAAATACATTACTGTAATCGTACAGAAAATTACCCTTATTACATTATAGCCAATTTCACTCATTTTCACTGGGTGCATGAATTTGTTCTTTTTCTTTCGAGACTAATTAGAGAATTTTTTCATGGTCTAAATATATGTTCGATTTTCTGAAAGAAACGAAAAAAACAGCATCTAAAATAGTACAGTAAAGCTGAGTTACTTAAAATAATCCTTAACCCTCTCCCACACGGAGATAATTTCCAAAAATTCTTTTTTAGTGTGCATTTTCATGACGTATCCTGTGTACCAAATTTCATCTTTCAATTCCTCACCATTTGGGCGCTGCGTTTATTATTATTATTATCATTATCATTATCAACCCATCTCGATTATATTATAATATTTAAAATATATATATACTATAATATAATGTAAAAGAACAAAATTATAAAATAGATAAAAAGGAAAAATAATAATAATAAAGAAAAAATTACATTTACAATGTCAGTTCTTTTATTGTATCGGCATTATGCAACTATTCTGTAAGTTATTCTCGATGAAATGTTTTCATGCTGTGGGTAACTTTGTGTGTCATTCTTATAATTCATACATCGGTCAAAAAACTTATTTATATAAATTTCAACTTTTTCCAAATTCATCACTAATGCTGATGAGTTTACTGGTTTTATATTTCAAGCTTCCTCCCTTTCTATTACTGATCCTTCGCTTTGTGTCATTCCAGACAAAGTTGTACAATATTGCCCTTTCTCTATGTTATATATGTTCTTTAAGACGTTTATAAAGGTTTCTGAATGTAATTCCTATGTATTTTTTCTCCAAACCCAATCGTTCATTTTTATACGGGATTCTGTGGTACTCTAGCCTGCTTTCCTTTCATTGAGTTTATCCTTATCGCTTCTTAGAACGATATAAATGGTTGGCGCTCTTTTGAAAAGTAACTGGAAATCTTTGTACTTCGCTATTTCACTCACAACACCAGTCATGTTCTCGTTATACATACATTTAGTTATTTTGTTCTTTTTTTGTTATCATTCTCTGTCTATTCTGCGTATAACCTCATCAAATTTTCAAATACAGCAGTTCTATATCCTAACGATACAGCAATGTTTTTAATTCTGTCCAGCTTTCATCCTCTCATATATGTTGGAGCATTATATGAAGGTACTGTACTTCTTATTAGTGCCCTTAATGCCGAAAGTTTATAAACATAGGGGTTATAATACGTAAATATACGTAAATCGAGGTTATTTTTATATAACAACAAAAAAGTTCTACAGATCTGTTAATGTTTAAATAAACATTTAAGAAAAGAATACAGACACAACATTAATGAAATCAAAATATTTGTAAGGTTATGTAGATTATTTTAACATAGCGTTAAACATTATGTTAATATATTTGTATTATTATATATCATATCGAACTTAAAATACCATATCGAACTTAAAATACCATATCGAACTTAAAATATCATATCGAACTTAAAATAATGAACTTAAAATACGGGGTTATTACGGTAGTAATAAACCGTGTAAAAATTAATAAAATAAAACAAATGTCCACTAATGCTCAAACCTCCCCCTTGTCTCAGTTTGCATTTTCTCGACGGTGAAAGCGACTCTTTCCCGTGATTATTTGACCTCCCGGCAGTGCACTACCGTTTTAATTAATATCGGAACTAACGGCCCAAGGATTCAGTAGTCGCCTGCTCATTCAATATAGAACCTTGCGTTTTCTTATGCGGAATACCATCATCTCCGATACGGAATAACATCGATCCCAACGGGAGTACGTCCCCGCACCTGGAACAATTCGCCGTCGCGGCTTCTGTGTCAAACGAGACACGATGGAGCAAGTTCTGACGAGGCACCAAAGAGGTGCCAACCCTCCAGTAACAGTATATGTCTTTATAGTATAAACTGTTGTCATATTAAATGTTCATGCCATTATTTCCGATGATATATTCGACTTATAAGACACAATCGGTGACTACAATCAATTTCTAAAAATTTGTACAAACAAAGTCCATCAATTGGTTTATACGTATGGAATTAAAGGTCCGGTTACCATTGAGAACAAAATGATTTCAATGTAGTAAAGCGAGTTATTCTAGCAGTCAATTGTAAAAGAATAAAAGAATTGTTTGCAAAAGTTCAAGAACATTTTAGCATAAATAATAATCTTATAAACATTGATAAAGTCTGGGGAAAGTTTCTTCAAGCTTGAAAATTGAGCAAAAATTTTCCGACTGGGCTGCTTTATTTTATTATGTAAATCTTTAAAATTAATAATATTTAAAGTGAAAACTGGAACAACTAATCATTAAAACCGTGGGGTAAAACAAGTAAAATTGTAAAAATAAAAATACAACGTATTTGTTTGCAACGCATAGAGTTTGCACCTTTTTATACGTTGTAACCAATAAACACAGTTAAAACATTAAATCCTTAAAAACCGATAAAAACAGGTCTGCAATTTTCAAATTCCATACCTATACAACTTCAGAGTAGTTCTTTGCACTTGGCAGTTGCAGACAGAAGAACCTTGCATTTGCTGCCACGATAAAAGCTATCATTGCATCAGTCTTTTAGGGAGAGGCGATTCTTGCACTTCGGGATACGAAGAGGCGCTGTAAAAACGAAGTAATCAGAGTAAATGACTTTGTTCTTGTGTTTTGTTCGTTTTAGGCACCCATTTTTCCATTCGGCTTGCGTGCTATTTTTTTTATGAATTTCATTAGGCACGTTTATTTACGGCCAGTAATCATGTGCAATGTCACTTTTACTTTGCCGTATCTCGAAATCGAAGTCATAGACATCCATTTTTTATTACTTTTTTGAATCCCTCATTGTAATTAATGTGAAATGGCAGTTTCGTCTAAATCGGAATAAAGATTTATATATAAAAGTGCCGCGGAACTCGAACAGTTTGAAATTCGAACAAATTCTCGGAAGAAATTTTGCCGCAAAAGCGAACTTTTCTTGACATTCGAATACAAATAAATATAGCCATACTGTATGGTGCATGATGAATGATACGAGTAGGCGTGATGCTGTACTGTTGTTACATTATTCTTTAAGATAAAATTGCTTAGCTTTGGTTTATTTATTTACGACAATGCGTCAAATTGGAGATTTTCCGAAAGAGATCTTTATAAAAACCTGGCCCCTATTTAGGTATTACAACGTGAAAAAAATCTGAGAAACTTCGTGTGGGCATTCCCTTGGCGAGGCGCAAATCCATGACCAACTACCACTGTTTAATGATTTTTATCCATTGGTAAACTCAGAAAATTGCTTTGAAACTCAAATGCCCTATAAGAACGAATTGAAGTCGGGTTACGTGTTATCATTTTATACTTATTTTCAAGACAATAGGAAAAATATACTCTAGAAGATAAACGGGTAATCTTGTAAATAACAATTAAAACAATAAAAAATTCTTTAAAATTAAAAAATATATATTTACACTTCTATCAATCTGCTTTAGTTTACTTCTTTAAATAAAAATATGTTTCATATTAGTAGTAATTTAGTTATTGCTAAAAAACAGTATAAAATAAAAAATAATTTAATTTATTCAGTCAATTTTATCTTCAAATTATTCAGACAAATAAGAGGAAAAAATATTTATTGAAATTTCATACAGGGAATATATTAAGAACAAAAATTTAAAATAAAAATTATTCATTATATCAATTAATTGTAACGACTTTATATTAAAAAAAATGTATAATAAAACAAAATAATAGACCTCAATATGTCGATGCAACTTTTCACTCCTCAGACGAACAATTGAAATGTAATTTGAATATATGAAGTGTATAACTGATGGGACCGTAGGATCGGTAAAGTGCATAAAGACGTTGCTCTTTGAAATTATAGAACTGATTAACAACATTACCATATTTTTTTCTATCAACATTTATAGCAATGTATGGAATTTCCTTTTCGGTTTTATTTGACAAAAAAGAAATCTGTACTATTTTCAAATCTTCCAAGCAATAAACCCTGCCATAAGCAACGAATGCATATTCCATCCTGCAATTTCCAGCATCAACAGTTTGCTTGGACAAAATTTCTAAGTTCTCTGGATCGATTTGAAGCGCCTCGTAAATTTCGGTAATACCATGACCTATAAGGTCAAATACCCAAATATTGTCCTCGTCTATGCGAAAGAATAAGTAATCAATTTGTGTAATAGGACTGATTATTTATCCTAGTTTCGGTTCCAAAGTCTGGAGGTTGTGTTTGAAAATTCTGTGATCAAAATCCTATCGACCGTAATAAATTCCATTGTATACAATTCCCCAATCTGTCGATATGTCAGGCAAACGAATTTCCCTCAGAATTTTATAACTTCCGTTTTCATTTAATCTGTATTCTTTTAAAGAAGAATATCTATTTTCCTTCAGCCAAATGTTCAGATTTCCTTCAGAATCCTCTTCAAATTGTGCGATATCTAGTCTTAGGCTCCCATTCCATCCCCAGCTCATTCCATTCCCATATATTGGGAATGGAATGATCTGGTGATCTGTAACGTTGTCCAGAATGCAATCTGAAAATAAAAATATCAAATCAATATTTATATTTACAGAAAAAATTCAGATTTGAAATGTTTTAATCAGCTTTTACTACAATATGATACCACTTTAATAATTCTAAAAAGAAAAATGCTTAATATTAAAAGTAGAAATGAGCTTCTTAAAAATTGTAATAATTTTTAAGAAGCTTTATATTAAATGCTAATAACGAATAAAATTTTCATCAAATGTGACCCCACTGAAGCCATGTTCTTTTCTCCGCATTCCTTGATCTCTAATCACCAAAACTCAGTAGTATTAATCAGGGGTGGATCTAAGTTTTCAAGGTTTAAGGTTTACTAAAGTCCAATGGAGCCTCATTTTTTCCCTAAGATTTATAATTTTTAAGTTAAGGTTTAAAATTCGCTTTTAATTACATCAAAATCAGAGTTGAAATATATTGATTTATGAAATGGTATTGAATGTCAAACTTTATATCTCATATATATAAAAACATGAGAAATAATGAAATATTTACATTGTTTAATTCCCGACTAATTACGTTTTGAACTTCAACTCTTTCCGCTTCTACTTCCAATTTTAGTTGACTTAATCACCAATTTCCGTTCGTTTTATATTTCTGATAAAGACTCCATCTCACGGAAGAATTAACTCAAAATTTAAAATTGAAAGTAAATGTAAAAATAAATTATTAATTACGATTTATAACCATTTTAAATCAGTTAGAGCACGATTAGGAATGTTTGGAACCTGTCACTCGTGGCTTCTTGTGGCAATACACAGCCTTTGTTTTGTATTATTGTTGTAAAATGAGTTTCCTTAATAATACAATTTTAATTTACTTAGACTTTATAAACGACTTTATAAAAAAGAAAATGACATTTCTGGACTAGAAGCATTTTGAAACATCTAGAAATGCAAACAAGATGATATTACTTCGATAAGTAAAAAACAGAATAACCTATAAAGTAAAATTTTATCTTTACTACTTCTTTATTTTCGAACAATGAAAACATGGCACCCCTCTGATGCTATGCTTAATTACCAAAGCAAATGTATACTCTATTAAAGTTTATTAAATGTATACAAAATAAATATTTATTAAATACACAACCGAAAAGAAGAACAAAAAGAAATGACTTTTCTTACGTCTACTTTCTTGTTTTTTCTTTTCTTCAGAATCATCCTTTTTCCCTCCTGTTCTCCTGTTAATACAAACAATTTTCCATGATTTGTTATTTCTTCAATATCAAGATTTAAAAAAATTAATCGATGAATATAAAGTGATAACAAAACGTATTGAAATACCTCAAAGTGTACTCATGTAAATTGTAACTCTAAATTTAATTAAAAAATTGCACAAAAAACTTAATTGAAAAGGTTAGTTAATTAGTACATTTTATTATTTTTCCTTGTTAATTTACGTTAAATTAACGGTGTGAAAGAGGTTAATTAATTGCATATCTAATATAAGATAATATATGTATATGTATATATTGTACAGTACCTTCTGTTTCTGTTATGTTTATTTTACAAATGGCTTCCAAAGTAACACAATACTCGCAGAGTTCAGATTTCTACAAGCATAAAAATATTAAAGAAAAATATAAGTAAATAAAAAATAACTACACTTCCTGGATGTTGTAACTTTTTTTACTTTATTTTGAAGTGATATTTAATTGTAATGATTTAAAATACAGTTTACTATAGACTTACTTTTATACTGCATTTTCTGTTCAGCATTACTGCATCTTCGTCTTTCTCTCCGCATTCAGTTTTAGAAGAAATGTCTCTTATTTTATGTTGATGACGAGAAATGTCATAATTGATGTTCGCATCCGCTTCTTTGCTTTTGATATAACGCTCTTTTATATCGGGTGGAGCCATTCGAATATTACTATTTTGAGGTGAATAAATGATGAGGAACACGAGGACAATCAAGAAGAGCAGCAGGTTCAGAAGGTAGAGTATTTTTATTTGTATTCGATAGTCTTTTTTTTAATATTCTCCATAGTGCTAAGAAACAAATATCATTATTTAACACAAAAGCTTTATTATTAAATATACGTCTGAAAAAATTAAACATACACATAAAAGTATAACAATAAAATTACATGTAAATTGCCTAAGGTAAGAAATAAAGCCATTTAAATATCTACAAGGAACAGTGTGTAGTTATTGCTCATTCTTTACAACTGAAAGGTTTACGTATGCAAAAAAAGTGACACCACTGATCGTAATGTTGGAGGGATGTATGACAAAATCCTCGAATGCTATTACGCATTTTAATCTTTATTTAAAATAACAGTACCGAAGTTTTTGAAAGCTTTAATAAAAGTATGGCTGATTATACTAATGAGTTTTGAGTTTAAACTTTTAATATCAATTTATAAATTAGTGAGAAACTTCTAAAGCTAAGGAAACCAACAGAAGAAATATCTCTAATATACAGTATTTTCTTCGATAAAACAAATAAATTTAAATATTAACAATTTATATTTTGAAGTAAACTCAATACAAAGTTAACAAACAGTGGGCTTACCCAACCATTTACAATGATATTTATTTCTTACGTTTAAAATTTAAAAAAATGTCATTATTTATCATTAAAAAAACATGCTGAAAGGACTCGAAAAATATTTATTTCGATCGAATTTATAAAATTGTTTTATAGAAAACGAATACTTACCAACTTGTTTTCGTGTTGAACTTCAACTCTTTCCGATTCTGCTTCCAATTTTAATTGACCTAATCACCAATTTCCTTTCGTTTTATATTTCTGATAAAGATTCCATCTCACGGAAGTATTAACTCGAAATTTAAAATTGAAAGTAAATGTAAAGATAAATTATTAATTACAATTTAAAACCATTTTAAATCAGTTGGAGCACAAGTAGGAATGTTTGGAACCTGTCACTCGTGTCTTCTTGTGGCAATACACAGCCTTTGTTTTGTATTATTTTTGTAAAATGATTTTGCTAAATAATACAATTTTAATGTGCTTTTTTAATTTCTACTTACTGCTAGACTCAAATTTTATATGAGGACGTAAAACTTCGTACTGCTCCAATGAAAGAATGTAACTGCAAACAACTTTAGAGTCATTTCGAGTTTATTATAAACCCTTGTGTTCAATATATTTCAAACGTAGTCATTTTATAAAAGCATTAGCCAAGATTTGGAGAAGAACGGCCGATTTTCTACGGCAGGGACGTTCACTTCCTTTTCCTCCCTACATATAATTTGAGTGTATATAGCAGAATGTTAAGTAATTTTCTTTTGTATTTTCTCGGTAGTTGTCGTATCCTGTGTACCAAATTTCATCTTTCAATTCCTCACCATTTGGGCGCTGCGTTTATTATTATTATTATCATTATCATTATCAACCCATCTCGATTATATTATAAGATACACAAATGTCTGCAATATTTTCAAGCAAGTACTGTAGCAATCTCTTTTTTAATGCTGTTTGCTGTAGTAAAGAGAGAATAGTTATTGCTGTATTCATATTAATCACCTCTAAAAAGCTATAAATTATTTACTTATTTATTTTATAATAATTCAGATAATGCTTACAACAACAAAATGCTTTTCTGAGTTGAAGCATCATAAAATTTTTGCTCTTGTAAATTGCATTTATGTAGAAAAAGATTTAATCATTTAAAAAATTTCTGCTATTTTATTACTCTAAAATGAATAAAGTAAAATCGAGTAATGTCGGATTTGTCATTATAAGATTAAAATATATTTGACTTATTTGCTTAATTGTTAATGTTAAATGGACTAACTTAATTTGAAAGATTTCAATAATTGTAAATAAAATAATTGAATATCAAATAATTAGTTTTATAAACAAGATTTTATGCTTTCAGTTTGAATAAAAAATATTCAGATAAAACTTTATTCAAGTGACAAAATTGTGTACTTATTATTTAATTAAATTTGCTTTCTGTTATCTTAAACCTATGTCAATGTGTATTTTTATGGACTTAATTGCAAAATTGTTGCAAAATTTTATGTTATTTACAATGTAATAGTTTTTAGCATCTTTACAAGATAGAAAAATAACAAAATATACAATATATATTCAGTACAAGTACTTAAATTTTCTGTTTTAAGTGACATAGTACACAGGGAGGTCCAGAAGTTAGTTAATTGAGCAAATTGCTTGAACAAGATACTATAAAAAACTTATTAATTAATTGTTTAAAATGACAAGTAAGATGTTGTTTTAAACAATTTCTACAAAATTTTGAAGTAGTGAAGCATTTAAGACAGTAACTTAGTTTTTACAGTGTTTAACTGACTTTTGGACCAACCTGTATGTCTTATAAGCTGAAAAACATAAAAACTATGTGGAAAAAATGAATAGATATTTCTCATAAATTGTTATATTTTTGTCATAAAATAGTGATTCTTAACTATTACTGGATGGTAGAGTTCTTAGCCTCTAGNTCCTCTGTGATATTTTTATATTTTTGATTTCGAGTAACCTTTAAAAAGCAAGAAATAGAAAAAAAGATGTGAGTAATTATGTGTGTAGTTGAAAACGAGCATTGTTTTTATAATTTCACTAAAAGTATTGTCTTTCTACATTATTCTACCCGAAGAAAACTTACTGTTAATATCTTCTAGTCTACTGCACGTTGAAGTTTATCCTGCCAGAAAGAAATTTGGACTTCATTTTAGATGTTTAACGCTTTCGCCATAGGAAAGCACGTTTTTCTTCTTAAAACACCTTTCCAAAAACTCTCAAAACAGATGACGTTCAATTCATGTTAAATGCATATTTTTCAATTGTTCTGTGGCCAGGAATAAAGGATAAAAATTGCTTAACCATTATCGAACTTTCATTTTTTTATAAAGTCTAAAAACTGAAACCATTATCTTTAATCTCAAATGTATATGTATATAATTCGTCTCTGTAATCCAAAAATTTCTAGTAGACGGACTCACAGCAAAACTTTTAGTTAGGAACTCACTTTTATTCTTTAAAAAATGTGTCATTTTTTAAAGAATAAAAGTGATTTCCTAACTAAAAGTTTTGCTGTGAGTTCGTCTACTAGAAATTTTTGGATTACAGAGACGAATTATATACATATACATTTGAGATTAAAGATAATGGTTTCAGTTTTTAGACTTTATAAAAAAATGAAAGTTCGATAATGGTTAAGCAATTTTTATCCTTTATTCCTGGCCACAGAACAATTGAAAAATATGCATTTAACATGAATTGAACGTCATCTGTTTTGAGAGTTTTTGGAAAGGTGTTTTAAGAAGAAAAACGTGCTTTCCTAT